TAAATTCTTTTGATAAAATGAAGGATAAAAAACATTGTAAAAACCTCTGGCCTTTGATATATATATATTTTTTTGTAAACGTTTAAATGCATTATCTACATTAATGTAAGGAATGTGTGTTAGAAGTACTCACCCCCTATTCGAGAGGTTATTGAATCCAGAGAATATGAAGAAAGAAAGAAAATGAATTTTTGTTAAGTTAGCGAAAAAGATTATTTGTTACCTGAAATGAAAAGTAATCATTCACTAGCCACTTTATACCAATTTGAGAAAATAATTGTGCTATCTTTTTCATGAAAATTTTACACTATCCAATTGGAAAGAAATGTTTCGTACCATATAGTATATTTAAATGTATTTTGCTACAAAAATGTACACAGTCATATAGACTCACCATTTCATATTCATATTGTCATTACCCTATCCTGACAGTTAATAGAACAACTCATGTTTAATTAAATAATGCTCATTTGAGTTAGCTTTTCAATTCAGCTTTCTTTTCATCAAAACGTATCTAAATAAGCAATAATATTAAAGTAATATCTCTTCTTAAAGTGTCTATAACCACACAATATTTTTCATAAAGATTCGAAACGGGTAGCATAAACGAGTCGGTTTGTGTTTGAAACTGGAACTTTATAGTTCATGAAAATCACATCTATGTATATTGATTGTCTTGCAGCGTCTTTACTTACCCCCTGCATCCATCCATAGACCAAAGAAAAGGAAAACAAACAATAATCAATGAAGGCAATGTTGATTACATAATGTTTACGATCATACTCAAGAGATCCCAAGTTTGCTCAAAATGGAACAATATTCACAATATTTATGACGTCGCATTTTTTACATTATCAACATATATTTGATTTCGCTTTGAAGGGATATTCATTCTTTGGTGACCTAAAATTGGGAAATTCAAAACAGCTTGTTAAAAAAACAGTACAACTTATCACATATGGCTATATCCATGAAATCTAAACCGTGCTGAAATGATCAATATTGTCTTCATAATTTACAAATTGAAGAAAAAATGCTTGCTTGCACTGCTGTCTTGATCTACATTTTAAAGATCTATTCAATTTTTCTTTCAATCAATCTTTCTTTCTTCGTCTTTCCTTTCTGGCAATCTTGCTCATAGATATAAAACGGATGATTATAAAGTGAAATAAACCATGATACTCACAAATAAGTTCACCTGAATCCACGAAAAGTCGAATAAGGACAAAGAGGAAAAAAGAGGCAGAGTTGAATTCATTTGAACCCAGGTGCGTGGATTGTTCATCTTTTAAAATTCAACGAATTTATTTTATTTTATTCAAGAGTTCATTCCAAAAGCTCTATCCTTTTTAAGCGAAAACCGTAAGGCAAAATAGTGGATGTTTGTGCAGTAGTCAATACGCAATTATGGCAAAATCACAAGTTAAATTTATGATAAGGCTGACTTAAAACACACAAAAGAATGGTCATTAATCAAATCATATACTTCAAAAGAAACGTTAACATAATGATAATGGCAGAGGAGTCGCAACAAGCTTCTTTTATAAGAAGAAAACAAAAGGGGGATGACATGAGATGACATTTGAATGAGACTTTAATCAGGTGACACAAATCTAAGATGTTGTCAATTTGAGGAATTTGGGTCGATAAAAGACTCCGAAGGCTAAATAAAAAATCCGGGCCATCATCTAAGGTCTAATGGGAAGACAAACAAGTGATTTAATCAATACTTACGATCTGCTCAATGTGATGTAGAAAAACAAGCAAGCGTCGACGGAGACAGGTTTGATGTAAACAGGGGTCAAAGAAGCGTGAAAAAGAATAATTAGGGAGAAGTTTAAGCAATACGAAAGCGAAAGAATAGGTAAAAAAATACATAATATTATATTAGAGAACATTGAATATGTGAAAAGCGCCAATTTGAAGACTATATTAATTTCATGATCCTTTAAAACCCTTACTATGAAGTTTATAATTCAATTTTATAAAAAAATCACATCTAAAAGAATACCAATAATATGTGTGCGCGTGTGTGTGTGGGTGTCTATCAATCTCTTATTATATTTTTTCTTATGCTTATCATGGTCTCTCCTTTTTCCAATAGTTTTTGTAGGAGAAAATCCACGGGGGGGGGGGGGGGGGGGGGGGGGGGGGGGGGGGGGGGGTTAAGATTGGTTTGGACGGGGGTGTGCGGCTGAAGCGTCTAATCTTTGGGCAGAAAATGATAACTATTATTAGGGACTTCCATTCAACACGCAAACCATGTTTAAGGTTTTGCGACCATCGGCAAGGATTTCGGATGAAAAAGCGAAATGATTTCAATTATTTTTGCGGGTTTTGCATCTGTGCATGGCTCAGATCAAGGGTACCCTTAGATTGAACACTGGGAAATTGTTTAATTATCCAAAACCATGAGACCCAGACACAAATTAGCATTTTTATATTAGAAAGTACCATTGGGGGAAGCTCCAAACAAGGTTTCAGCTTCATTGAGTTCAAATTAAAGATTTTAGAGCAATTTTGTGATGTAAAAAGGCCTATTTTCAGCACTTTTAATGTTACATTCAAAACATGCACTAATTGGTTACCAGATTTTTTACTAATGGGATGCAAAACTTATGATTTTTTTTTATCTTGATGTAGAATCTATGTAATAATTAACATTTCTGTTGAGTTAATTCCTATTATTTTACTTTCTTATTCTATTTACATGTGATACAAGTTTTGTGATATGTACATAACTTTGGTGTCCTGCAAATTTCAAAACTTACTAACTGAAGAATGGTGTATAAATAATTGATTTATTTACAAGCTTGCAATGTTATAATGTTTAGTTTCACTTTATCTTTGATTTCCAATCAGATCATCTCATTCTGGGTCATGGTTTTAAAAATATTTAGATGTCTGTAAATGGAAAATGTTTGGTGTCCTGCAGTTATGTACAAACCAGTGCACCAGAATATATACAAAAACATATTGTATACTTTCAAAATGACAATGTAATGGTGTATATAGGTGAATGAAGAGCACTGATAACATTGGATTCCGCATTTTAGCTTGTATGTGTTATTTAATCAACAATGAATGTGGACACCGAGTTATGTACGTGACAGTTATGTACGTATTCCATGTTTTGTTTTTCCAATAAGACCACCTATATGTAGTTATTTGTCATGGTAAGGTAGTAAAAAATGTATAAGACATGTACACACATCTGATTTGGTGAGCAGAATATTACAAAATATTGCAGTTTGAACTTTTTCATGTCATGTACATAACTAAGACACCATTATGAAAAGACACCGAGTTATGTACGTTACTACCAATCAAAAATTTGAAATAATTATCATAAATAAATTTATTTATTCCATACAGCATGAATTGCACCCTTCTGTATTTTCATTTAAACAAACATTTATTGAATTTAAGGAACAAGAAGTTAAATATTATTTGAATGTAGAACTACTTACTTTTGGTGTCCACAGTTATGTACGATTACATGTAAGTACAGAAATCTTACATTTCAGTAGTTTACAAACTATTTACACATTGCAAATTATGTTTCATTCAGGAAACACATCATTCCTTCAATTTAAGTTGTTATTAGACTAATGCAAAACCATATCTGACAATAAGGCAAAGAGAAAGCATGCAGAGAATAAGATGTACTGTACATAACTCGGTGTCCACATTTGTTTTGGCCATATTCTAATAACTAAATTGAAAAAAATTGATATGGCAATGGTTTTAAGTTTTGTTTACAGTATGTTTTAACATCTAATGTACTTTGTCAGAAAAATTAAAATTATAAGGGAAATATCAGCATGAAGTGGACACCGAGTTATGTACGTAACATTTTTGATGATGTGATATTTAGCTACTGATTGCAACGTAACGGCGATTTGTTAAGGTCTGATTTTTTAGCTATATGTTGCATAATGTTTGCAGATTACAAAAATAATGTTGCCACAGTCTATAATTGACTTTTAAAATTCACCTCATATGTAACACTTAGGTGCCCTTGATCAGAGCCCTGCACATCTGGAATTTTCACTTTAGTGAGATTATTATCCTGATCATATTATAGTAACCCGTGTTTAAGTTTAAGATCTGAAAAGTGGGGACACTCATAAGGATTTTGCAGCCCAAAATCATACCCGTCCCCATGTTCAGGGATTTTTTGGCAAAAAAGTTGCCTAGAGAAATGAAGAGGAGGACGAGAAAGTATTTAGATGATCCACAAATCTTACCATTACTTTGAATAGAATATAGCACCAACAAAAAACCACATTGACAAATATCAAGTCAAACTCCTAGCTATTTTCACTTGAGCAAGTATAATGATAATGTATTGGATAATATTATAGTAATACCCATATCTAGCCAAATTAGTGGATTGAACATTTGGCTGTAACATTGTGGGTATTAAACTGAATCAGCCTGTCAAATTATATTCGAAGTGTTGCCTTCGTCAACAATGTGGCAAGGGCTAAATATACAGGTCTCAAAGCTGATTAGCTACAAGTATGAAGAGTCAAATACGGTAACCATTTTGAATATTTCCCATTCAAGGTTAAATTTATCTCACATCCTGACAATAGAGGCAATCTACCTAGACAAGTATAGTGGTTATTTATAATGTTTCTATTGGGTGACTTGGTTCGACTCCTCACAATCTCAGCATTCCAGGTAAATTGAATATCAAATATTCAAAAAACAGTTTTATGACACATGCTCATGTGAACATTTTCTCAATGGTCAAAAAGCTACACTAACCAACGTGCTCACTTCCAACCCGAACTGAACATAGTCCTAAACCCAACCCACAACCCAATTGTGACCCCAACCCCAATTCCAAACCTAACCCATTACACACCTGCGACCCTAACTCTCACCGTAAGCCAAACCCCAACTCTTTGAGAAACTAAAGCCTGAAGACATTGCCACTGGAACACGTGTTAGATAATCCTCAGAGTACCAATAACCCATTCAGATGCACTTACTTGAATAAATGTCATATAGACCCTATCAACATCTGGTCTCTCCTCTCTGTCCACCTTGATGCTGACGTAGTGTTCATTCATCAGCTTTCCAATATCAACGTTCTCAAAGGACTCCCTCTCCATTACATGGCACCAGTGACATGTTACCAACTAGAAAATAGACACATTATATGAATTTCAGAGTTACATCAAACAACCTGCTAAAAATTTTAATGTAATAGATTGATTCTTCATTCATCAGTTTTTTAATGTAAACATTATCAGAGAACGAACTCAAACTCTCCACGTCTATCTCTGCCCCCCCCCCCCCCACTCTCTCTCTCTCTCTCTCTCTCTCCATCGCATAATTCATCTCCTGCGGTCTTTAACACTTTCAGGTAAGTTTTCACTGAATTAAAAAAAAGATCTAAAATAATCCTTATACAAGAGTAGATAATTTTAACATTGCATTTTTTTAAATTTCAAAACACGAAGGACTTAATCTCCACAAGAAAACTTTGAAGATATTGCATGAGTAAAATATAAATCAAAATTCTGATCTCCTTCTTGATTACCTGAAAGGAAGATGAGTTTGTTTTCCACTCTAGCTTTATCAAAGGCTTCTTGACCCCAAGGATACCTGAAATATTATAGTATTAATGACTGCTTTGAGAGAAATAGTTGTTTTATTACGCTCAAGGGAAGGTTAGAATTGTGCTATTCCCCGAGGCTTGCCGAGGGGAATAGCCCAATTGTAACCTTCCCGAGAGCGTATGAAAACAACTATTTCTTGAATATTAAAGCAGTCATTAATACTTTTATATGCCGAAAAAAAATAGACTAAAAAATAAAAAATAAAAAATACTTTTTTTTTTTGTCGAAGGTGAGAGTCGAACTCTTGCGTACAATGAATGATGAATCGTACACCAACGCCTTACACCACTCGGCCATCGCGCGCTGTTCACATGCTTGGCAGTTTTGTACGATATATACATTAAAATGGATTGAAACCGGCTTCGGCGTGATGAATGCTTCGCAAAAGCACCCTTCTTTTACTTTTGCAATGCATATTGGCACGAACTTAGATCAAGATCTATCGGCAGATGTTGTTTTTTTGTTTTTGGAAGTTTATTTTCGTCTTCATGTCAACAATGCAAGATAAAATTGTCGGTAAGATCGATCGAGATTCAATTGTATTGAAATTACCGACCAATCCTTCGCACACATACGGTATCCTCGATCGCTCAAACCATTTTTTAACATGTAAACCTATGGGGTAACCATGGAGGCTGACCTATTTTTTTAATAACCATGGTTATTAAAAATATTAAATGTTTTATGCATGGTTACCGGGAATTTTACAGGAACAGTTGAAGTTTATGAATGCAATTCGACCAATCAGATGGCTGGATTTCTTAAGTGAGGTATATAAACATAAATATGTTTTTTTTATGTGTATAAATACTGCATTTTATATTATCCTACACATGTTAAATGCATTTCAAAAGAGTGACTTACAGTCTCTTCTTATGAAAGAAATATTAAATCACAATGTCATAATGGAAAAGAGGCTTTCAACTTTCGGGTAGAAATCGCACTTACCCTTTTGTTTGTGTAGTCACATTTAGAATGAATAAATACAATCATTGTATGGTTTATAAGAAGGAGAGTTCTACTTGATCAGGTCCATGAATAAAAACTTTATTCAAAATAAAAATTACCTGAAGTAGAAGTGCTATGACTCAAAGAGAAATGAATAGATCATATTTATTCAATACCAGTCTATAGAAACACAGAAAATAAAGTATCTAGACCTTTGCACCAAATATGCCATTATTGTGAGATACAAAACAGTCTACCACGAATTGATGTAGAAGTAGAGAGTTATTGACATCTGGATGATAAGAGGTTTCTCTAGCCGTAATTTACTAATGCTAGTCACCTTGCTACAACTGCAAAATTTAACTATACACATGAGTTCATGAAGACTCACCAGTCTACAGGGTTGCTGGCATGTTGTAGCAAGTAGGGTGATTTCTCTTGTGCAAGTCTGTTGTTGCCTGCCTCCATCATGCTACCACTGGCTTGGCTGTCACTACCGCTAGAGGCCATCCTAGCTTGCAATAGTCTGACAAAAGGAAGAAAAGAAAGTGATGATGTACGTAGTTGTCACTTATTTACAATGCATGAGCTGAACTGGAGATAGACCAACTCACTTAGATCTAGGGTTGTCGTTGCTCCGAACATAACCATTGAGAGTCTTGTTTAAAACCTCTTCAAGTCACAATGGTTTCTTGGGTGTCAATAAATAAATGAATGAATAAAATGAAGAATCCACAATTGTAACCACTCATAAGGAGTCTTGCTGACAATTATTTACTTGCTCCATTGTCAAAAAAAAATGTATCTGTGAACATTTTATCATGTTTAACCATTATAAAACAGGTGAAATTTAACTGTTTTAAATATCTAACATCATCATATTCACATATTACATGAACATCACATCACGTTTGTCCCCCTCAATACTTGTGTGACCATATAGTAATGACATTACCAAATCTTACATGGGCCTTGTTCTTGGTGCTGTACACCAAGTATTGTGTATTATCTTTGGTAGATGTGAATAGCCTTGATATCCTAATTGTGTCTCTGTAGTATGTAGAATAGCATCTTTGTTGTGCTTAATTCCTGTTGCTGCACTTGTTTCCAAGCTAGTACAAAGCAGAAGCATTGGGCTTGGATTTTCTTTATAATACTAATTTCATTCTGAAAACAATGAATGAATGTGTCAGCATCGAGTTTTCAATATTTATGATTATATTTTATCATAGTCAAAATAAGTTAGGTAGTAGGCCTACCTTTATAGAATTATAGGAATAGGAATAGTTGTAGTTATAATTCATATTCATGAATGTGTCACTGCACCTTTTACCAGATTTAACAATCACTCTCGACTTCGAGTATCACTACTGTCTCCTAAAACAATGTCACCACCACATAAATCACCCTTTAATCACCATTTCCAATGAAATTACCCAATCTTACATAGGTCTTGCTCTGCTGGGTGCTGTTAACCAAGTCTTGTGTGCTGTCTTTGGTAGATGTGGATAGAGTCTGGCTACCATTATCCCCCGTCCAACCAGCGTTCTCAACATCAGATGGGTAAAGTAGCCGCATCACTTGAATAAGCTGGAAAAAATAAATAGATTGAATGTTGTATACGCCAATATTTTTGCGGATTAACGGTTCAAGGACAAATCTGTGAGTTGTTAAATTTGCTATAAGCCACAACCACTACCAATTATATACTTTTCAATAATCATAATTATTTTTCCGTGGATCATGAACTCATAACCGAGTATCATAATATAACAATTATTTTGGCCCAGTCTTGGTAAAGTAACAAGCACTGTACGTGTACACAGAAGGATTTATATATGGACTACAAAAACATGTGGCACAAAAATCAGGCATTTTTAAGCTGATACTTGTCATATTTAGAATATGAAGGCATTTCAAGAGCCATGCTTTTCAGGGAACATTTTTTCTTTGATGTTCTTCCACACTTGCATAATAATAACAATGATTATGATATTGCTCACAAATGTTCACCTCTTCCCAGAATCCCAGAACTCAAGTCAACCTTCTCTTTAGATTAAGAATAAACGTCTACGCATTACTACCCATCATAATCTTTAAACTGGTATTAAATGCTTCAAGATTCATCTAACATTATTACATTTCGATACAAACTGGCTGCCAATGCTAAAGTCTATATTTCATCAAAGTCACCAGACCTAGTAAGACCTAGGCTATACATTAAAAACACAACGTGCACATGAACACGCGGGACAAGGATTAAAAAAATGGTCGCATTACAGATCATAGAACATCATATTCACGCCTAATTTACGTTAATGGAATATACCAGTATTCATATCAAACTTATTTCAGAAACTTCTATACCTGATCAAGATTAACACTTTACTATATAAAGTATAAATGTCAATTAATGAATGAAAAGTGTGATTTTCAAAAAATAAACAAACCAAGCAAATATGCCCGACCCGTCCTAGTCTTGTGTTCAGCTATCTTTAATTGATTCCTAATGGTTATTTGGCTGTAATCATTCATAGAAACGACAAAAAATAAAATAATAAAATAACAATGATACTTTAAAATTTTTAATGCAAATTCTATTGATATTAAGAAGAAATTCATCGACAGTTTAATTTATACCAATTAAAACATTGAAAAAAGACTAGCTAAAATCGCCGCGTGATAAATCAAAACAAACCACAGTCAGTCTTTGGCAAAGAAGGTAAATTTCATCTAGATTTCTATTTCTAATGCATGTTTCATACAAAAGATGTAGTTTTCAGAAAGAGAAATGTGAATTAATCTAATACATGGCCTGGTATATACACTATGAACATGACTGACAATGAGAGCGGACAAAATATACAGTTCCTCAGGTATACAAAGGAACATCCCTTCACAGCTATTATGTAAAAAGGTGAATATGCATGTGACACCTGTTCTACACATTTTTACATAATAGCAGTAAGGGATGTTCCTTTGTCTACCTGAGGAACTGTATATTTTGTCCGCTCTCATTGTCAGTCATGTTCATAGTGATAATATGTTAATTTTGTGCAGGCTTCGTCTCGTAACCTCACCACAACACGCATTCACGCGAGATTATACTGAAAATTGGATGAGATCCCCCGCCCAAGCTGCCTGCGTCTCGCGTCGACATGAGACTCTCCTTGTCTTGGACTTTGGCCTTGGCCTTGGCCTGGCCTGGTTGAGCTCGGCTCGGGGGTGGGGTGGGGGGGGGGGGGGTACTGCAAACAAAATGGTTGATATGCTTTGCTAACATCTCATATCATATGATGTCATACCTTGGAAGTACAAGTAGGCATAAAGTTGTACAAAACTTATTTGCCCTGGCCGGCCTTGCATGGCCATGGCTTACGTTAGACCGAATTTTCAGTCTCTTTCGTTCGTTAGCCTCTTATTGGGGTAGGGTCGGCTCGAGAGGCTTAGGTGTTTGCTAATAATCTGATCTTCTTTTCTTTTATTATTTATTGTCTTCTTGGTCATCTGCAACAAAGTACAAGAAACCTAGGCCTAGCTGATGAACATGATCAGATGAACTGCTGAAGCTGAAGGAGGCAGATGTAACACAAAGTTTACGAAGAAGAAGAAGAATTTAATCAATTGTTACAGTATTTGTCTAACTCTAAGTCTGACTCTAAATAAATAATTAACAAGCTAGTGCCGAGGAGCTAGGGGTCTGTATATATAAAATCACAATCCTACCTCCTTAAATTATATACCGGTATGGTACACATTGCTTGTGCATCGTGCTGAAGGCTGAAGCTGGCGAGTCTGGCCAGGCCCAGGCAAGGCTAGGGGTCAGTCATAATTGTTATTTTTATAATAGTTTTTGTTGGCTGGATTAGAACTTTGATACAAAAAACTTCTTTTGGATTTTCTATAGAATTTTTGTTAAAACAATGACTTTGTATTTTGTCCTCTGAAATATTCCAACACTGCATTACCTTTTCTGTAACGATGTCTACAGATCGATTCTTGGGCCAGCCGATTGATCAAGGAGTTACCATCATGAGCGTTCCAAACAAACTCTTGACCCTTGTGCTGATCCATCAGAATACCCGGCTCCTGCTTGGGATGAAGAAACGAGGGTTTGGTGTCGGGAGATGGAGCGGCTTTGGTGGGAAGGTGCAACCAGGGGAGACCATCTTGGAGGCAGCAGAGAGGTAAGTATTGTAGCTTTAATGGTTCAGTAGCTTTATCGTGAACCTTTTAAACTTTTTGTAATTTGTAGTCAACTCTTGACTTGTAAAGATTCTGTACTTCTTAAGAGAATGTAATACATTAATCCTCCCAATAATTTAAGCATTTTTCTCATGGATACTTACGGATTCTTCTGAATTCAGGCTTAATTAAGCCGCCATGTTCAGTTCCAAATTCCTTCTTCACGTTAAATTAGCTGGATCATGAAAGGGTAGGTTGGTGTCGAAATTGGACTTTGCAAGTTCACTTCTCCAGTATTTGTTAAGACCAATTTCAAAACTGTAGACACTGGGTGCAATTACTTTGTTAGAGTGGTCCGACCCGGCAAATATAATATAAAAACTACAGGGGTTACTCCCCCCCCCCCCCCCCCCCCCCCTCCTTGTTACCAAGTACGACCCTCAGGGAGGACTTGAGGCCGTCTGTCCCCTGGTTGCTTATTTACAAGCATATGTATGCTTTCTTGGCAGTCGGGTAAAACAAACATATTACCAACCAAGATCAAAGGAATAAGAATTTTGAACACACTGAACAAAGATTCTTTGAAACTCCATGTTCCTCTTAAACGTTTTATATTTGTATTAAATTGAAACTAGGTATTTATTTTTCTTGCAACTGTTCCAAAAAGTTGGCAACCTTTTTTATTAGATTCTTTAGTATTTGCTGAACCACACTTTAGAAATATTGTGTCTTTTCAGAGAATTGCTTGAAGAAAGCTGTGTCAAAGCACCAGACATAAAGCACATTGGACGCATAGACTTTGAGTTTGTCGGTGAACCACAGATCATGGAAGTACATTACTTCAAAGCAACTGTGTTTGAAGGAGAGCCAGCTGAAACAGAGGGTATGTCATACTTTGACCTTCTAGGATGTTTGTCAAATTTAGGTAACCTGTAAATAGCTGAATTTGTGTTTTTCCTGGGGGGGGGGGGTATCATTTTTTTTTAATTCCTTATTTTTGTGCTCATTGCTATGTTTCTTCTCATTTATTTCAGGTGTTATACTCTGTGTGATTGTGAGCAAGATTTTCACATCCTTAAAATATTGAAATGAATGAACTCTTATGACCCATGTAATGTTTATATATCAATAAGGGAAGGGGTCTCATCATGGGCATCCTTTCACCTCCCCCTCAAATGCCAGAGAGAACAAAAACAGTCTCTTAGGGCAAGAGATAACCACTGGGCACTGAATAAGCTCTGCATATTTTGACAATGTTCTGTCACATTGTGATCGTTATTGTTTTATTTGACTTCACAAGCCCCTCTCTTTATAAATGTGACCATGAATCCTGTACATCTGCATCATTGAGTACCAAAGTTGGATTGATGTATAAATAACATTTCAGTATTTTACCACATTTTATTTATCGACAGAGATGAGGCCGCAGTGGTTTGACATAGATTCCATTCCCTACGATAGGATGTGGTCTGATTATGTCCGATGGTTCCCATTAATGCTAAAGGGGTCGAAGTTCAAAGGTTATTTCAAGTTTGAAGGCATGGACAAATACCGGGATTACAACCTAGAAGAGCTGGACCAAAGTACTGAGATACAAAGGTAGGATACGTTTCCAATGACCTAAATCAATGAAATAAAGCAGCTATGAACAAAATATTGAGAAAAGAAAGTTGCATTTGGGTCTGAAATGTAAACTTTCTAAGGTAGAAACCTGTCTGATTGTGGTTCCAAGTGGCTGAAATTCCAAACAAAAATTGAAGATGCATAGTTTGTGTTGGTCTCCCAGTCAGAGCTAAAAAATGATACTGGATGATGCTTCTAATTATGTAGTGTAGAATTTGTGTGACCCACTAGGACATGACACATTTTGACAGTCCTTATCTATCATAAGTAGTTTAAAAAGCATTTTTCCAAATTAATCTTTTAACTTTAATCATTCTAAATAAAAAGGTAATGTAAAAAAAAGAAAAGCTATGATATCATGATTACTTGCATGAAGGTTTCTCCAGGAATGTCAAAATCAGCAAGGAACCAGAATGCCACCACAAAGCCCATGGTCTGAAAATCTTATCTGTATACAAACAAGAAATACTGTCACATGCTTAATCACCAATCGCTTTTGATTGTCTGTCTCTTCTTTTCCACATTGTAGCTCATATGACCCAACTCTTCCCTCTGAGGTGGACTAAGAACTGAAATACATTCCTCAACAGGGTGAGCAGACTAATGGATTGTCATCAGCTGAAAGGCAATCTGTATTTATAAATGCACTCTACATCATTGATTTTGTTTCATAGTCAAAGTGTTCTTTTCTCTCTTCTCATTTTGCCTGAGAACTAATATATTCTCACTTGTGCTGCATTCCAATGATAATGATTATCTGTGATGAAGGAAAATTGCACCGATAGTAACACTTACATACTGACTCTGTCTCAAGGTTACCCATCCTCAAACTTTTCGTGTTCTAATATCACTTCTTCAATTTTTTAATATTTATGTACAGTAGGGTATGGTATCCTGCAACAGTTTTCAAAACTTTTTTTGTGTTTTGCCCATGTTGAAATTTATTGCAAAGGATCACAGTAATTTAACGCATAACTCCAAACCAAGTCTGCAGCTTTTTACCAGTATATACTTCTTAAATTTCTTTACTCTGTTACAGAAGAGCTTAGACAGGATTTATTTGATTTATTTCAGACTTTTTCCACACTCGCAGTTGGTGTCTGTGTCGTCAGTGTATCCCCATTTTTGCATGTTGTAGTTACATCGCCCCACCCCTGTGCGAAGCCTATTGAGGGACTTCCACGTCTTCCAGTCACATGTATGGCCAGGGGGCAGCTGTTCCTTGATCAGGATTGGTAGCTTTTCGTGATGGTAGTTTTCACGACGTTTCTCTTCCCACAAGATCACTCTGGTTGAATGAGGAGGTTGTGACACTGGCTGGACTGTATGAAGGAAGCTCTTCCTTGACTTCAGGCGGGTAGGGGCCGGTTGATGCGAGTACAGGGGATGGCGGGTGTCCTCAACTTGTCTGCTGCGTTCAGTCCTACTTGCAACTTTTATGCGGACATCGGATGGAGCAATGCCGGCCAGGGTGTGCAAGAATACGGTCTATGGAGAACACGGATATGTGCCACATTGATAACTACTTAGAGATCCCCTCCTGTCTCCTGCAGACCAGTTTTCTTCTTCACATTCTTCCTAATGTTCTACATCTTTTCGCTGGCATGCTTATTGAAGAGAGCCTCAGTACACCCTGGAAATGAAGCTCTAACAAAGTCTCGAATGGCTTTAACTTTTGCTGCTGGAAGGGCTGGCCTCTGTGTTTCGGCTTCCTTGTGCAAGTTGCATTTGGTTCCTAATAGGGAATGTGCAACCGGCACTTCCTTCCCGAACACCTTCAGCATTATGTCATTAACCATGGCGCTCGGATTGCTAGAAGCAAGGACGGCAACCTCATCCTTGCTAATCAAAGAGTCTCCAGATTATGTGTTCAGGTCTTTCTGTAATGTGACAAATGCCTGAGGTTCTCCACTACATTTGGGCTTCAATGGGATGGGGCTTGGGCAAGGACTGGCCCCTGGGATGGGGCTGTGGCTGGCACTCGGGATGGGGCTTAATGAGCTAGCACTGGGCCTGGGGCTGGGGCTAGAGCTTCTAACTGCCTGAAGTAAAGTAGGCAACTCTTTTATGATGGCAATAGAGCACCTGAGTGCTTTGTTTTCCTCCTCTAAGCTCTTGTGGCTGCTGAGGCCACATGTAGGCTCCACCCTGGGCTCAGCCGATTTCTTTTTCTCCATGAGCCGCTCCATGATGCTCTCCGCATTTGCCTTTTCTTTGGCAGCTATCGTCTTTTCCTTCTCCTAGTCTATCTTTTGGGGGCTGGGCCCTCATCATATTCCTCTTCTGAGGAATCGGAAGCAAGCCTTGTGCTCCTTATCGTGGCTCTTATTCCTCTCCCGAGAGGACTGTGTGTTGTTTTAATATCTTTTCCAAAGAGTGCTGTCTCCAACCAACAGAACAGTGGTCGGGTAACTTGTCAGTGGCACTGTAGCTGCTTGTCCTTTCTTCTTCTTAATCTTATTGACATTGTTGGTGTTGCAGTAGGTGACGTCCTTGTCATCTTTGAAGTTGAATGCATCGTTCTTCAGTTTGTGTCGCGCATCTTTTGGAAATTCAAGGAATTGCGTCTCCACTATGTCAACTCCTAATTCCTTGCCGAAATCTAATAACACCCACTTTTGCTCCATTATTGCCTATTGGATTGACCAGACCAAGATGATATAGCTAATTAATAATGGATTTCTAAGAAGTAAGATGACTCAAACGGGTCAAACTTCCATTTCAAAGCTTACATTTGAACACCCCGATGAAGAACTGGGCCCTGTTTCATAAAACTTGTTATCAATAACAATTTATAATACCTGTTATAAGCTACTGAAATCATGACATTTGATTGGCTGAGAGCAAATTTTGTTATAGAATGTTTTGATTTGTTATCGATAACAAGTTTGATGCAAGAGAGTCCTGGACTCCACGCAGTTGCAGCATCACTGCTATGGGGAATGGTTTAGAAAAACCTTACTATCTTAAATGCTAAAAGTATGCATTTCCAATATTCATTACCCTCATTAGGGCAATTTTTTCCTTCTGAAGTCCTCCATACTCAGTTTTTGCACCAAGGATGTTTTATACAGGTAAGAATCCTGTATCAACTTTGAGATCATGGAAAGGAAATTGCAGATTTTGACTTTCAAATACCTTACTTCTTTCTTAGATACAATTTTTAACTGCATTTAATGTTTTTGTTATGTTCCTTTTAAAGTGGAATAATGAAGCAATGCAAATATAAGGTGTTGATGACTATTACATATATTTTATTTCATAAATCATATAATTCTGACGGACATTTACATTCTAAATTCAATATATAAAGCTCCACTGCATAGCTACTTGCACCCTCTATACAGCCGACAATGCCTAAGCGGTACTCGTTGATCCCCACGATGCCCTTTTTCTAATGTTAATTAAGAGCTGATTTGATGAAATAGCCACCTGCCAGTGACCCTGCAGGGAGGTCTTATCTTTCCATGCCAAACTAGTGCAGAGGGGTTTTAACAGTCAGTGTATTTATAAATCATCACCAAAATAAATACAATGGTGTACATCAAGAATGTGTGTAAACTTGAAAGAAACATTATTTCATAGTTTCTGCACAATGATGATATTTCATAGTAATTGATTGATATCTTGGAGCTATTTTTAACTTTAATATTCCTTTAATTTCAATGTTATTGAATATGTCTTTGGTGTTATAAGATAAACCTGCAGACAATATTAGTCAAGTTATGAGTCAGTGATATGGTTGCATTTGACCATCATTACACATACTATTTAAAACACATAATGAATTCCTTCAAAAATACATGTATGTATGAACCTTGACCAGATATTCTCAGAATTACCTCTTTTTTTCTTCATCATTATTAGGACATGTTTCCTTGACCATTGATGTAGTAACCAAAGGAAACCATTTGTATCAAAGAGATGTATACATTTTTATAACTATTAAATGTGTAAATGCGCATCATTTTACATTTCATGTTTTACTCGTTTTAATTATACACTTAGCACTTAGATAATGACAAATAAAATCAAGCTATAAACAGATTTTTATCTCACTACACTGTAGGCCTTTATATTTTTGTTGGGGGGGGGGAGGATAAATTCTTGTAATTGGAACCTCTTTACATTTTGCAAGTTGCATAGATTGTTGTCTTCCAGCCAAGTCAAAGTTATTTTGGCCGGATAGCACTTAGATTTATGTCAACATAGTGACAGTTGCTATATGTAGGTTATTTACTGAAAATTGCCAGTAGTTGGCTATGTCTGCAGAAGTTGTATGATGTACAAAATTGTTATTGTATTCATACGTTTTTTTCTTCTTCTTTCTGTTGGCATACAGCCAGCTATTATTATGTGTGATGATTAAGTGATTTTTATCAGTCATGAAGACCTGGATGAGAGCATTATTACAAACAGTAAACTTCTAGCTTTCAAAGCATTCTAGAGTTGTGACTTGTGGGGTTTTTTGGTAAAAGAAATGCATTCATATTTGTTTTTTTATACTTCATATTGAAATGATGGATAGATGTATGCAAAAAATTAAACATTTTATTAGTAATCCATGTATCAAGAATATTTATCTTTTATGGTTGTTGGTTTGTTTTCATAACTCTTGTCATTCAAAATGATTATACCAATACCAATTTGAGGAGGGGGGGGTGGCCTCTTCCACACAACTTTTGATCGATCACGACATCACAGTGCAAAAATAAAATAAAACTAAATCAATGCAAGTCATGTAATTCTGGTTGACTGAAATTCAAACTGGGTTTGATTATTAGAGATGGATTTGACTGCACATACCCAATAGGCCCCATAATACATCGTCAGTTTGCTAGTCATTTGAATTTTGATATCATAACATCATGAAAATTTCCTGAGAGTCGGCCAGTGACAAGGTTCAATAGCTCTTTAGAATCACTTATGAAATGTGCTATTAGTGCGATAGGCTTTAATAACTTGAAGACAATTTCTGTATGAATACAACAAGGTAATAAAATTGCTTGTGAGATGATTGTTTTAAAGTTATTGTAATTATAATATTGAATAAATAAACCAAACTTGCGTTTCATATTACATCAGCAACCACACAGTTTTTAAAAATCCACATCAATTAAATAAATAAATGATTAAATATAGAAAATGTTTAGGTACTTACAAAATGCAGCATTATGTTCATTATTGACAAATTTCAATTTTTATAAGAGTTTCCTATATCCAGTGAAACTGAGTAAATTAAACACCTTAATCGGTATGCCTTCAGGGACATATTCAGTACATTATTATATGGTGCTGTTCAACTACTATACTAAGCAAAGTGTAGCTCAATTTAGGGTTCTATGTTACCAGTTGGAAAGGGTTGAAAGTCCAAATGGAGCAAGTATTTCACTCGCCCCAATCAAAAGATTCTGATTTCATCATTCAAATCCTACAGAAAATAGCATTTTGACATTGTTTTCAACAAGGCTGAAATACAGGCAATTTCATCATAGAGAAGTTAACAACAACAACAAAAATACCCACTTCTGCCACGTTAGGTGGACCAAATTTGCTGACTAAGCTTGTAGAACATTAATTTTTGGACCGTTTAAAATAATATTATTGCTGAAGGCTGGCTAAATTGATGTTTGCTGATGAAATTTGGAATGTGGATGTCACACTCCTCTTACGCTTCTGTCGCCACGCCCTTATACCAATATTGTGTTCATATGCATCCAAATCGAAGATTCTCCGGACTCTATGATGAAATAAGATGATATCCTGTGACGCACCCTCTCTTGAAATTCAGCTGTCCGCATATCATGCACGTCTGCCAAAAGAGAAAAACCAGATATTTTTATTTCATATTCATTTATTGTCACTACAGTGATTGTAGGCATTAACGAGACGGTAATCCCTCCCCCTATACCTCCTTCACGAGAATTATGAATTCCAATATTCAGGCAATTATTATCCCGGCAATTGTAAAGGGGGTCATGATCTGATTTTCGTTGCAATTCTCTTTCTCGTAGCCCCCCCCCCCCCTCTCTCTCTCTCTCTCTCTCTCTCTCTCTCTCTCTCTCTTCTCTCTCTCTCTCTCTCTCTCTCTCTCTCTCTCTTCTCTCTCTCTCTCTCTCTCTCTGCATTCTATGTGTTATTGCTAAATTCTTTTGATAAAATGAAGGATAAAAAACATTGTAAAAATCTCTGACCTTTGATATATATATTTTTTTTGTAAACGTTTAAATGCATGATCTACATTAATGTAAGGAATGTGTGTTAGAAGTACTCACCCCCTATTCGAGAGGTTATTGAATCCAGAGAATATGAAGAAAGAAAGAAAATGAATTTTTGTTAAGTTAGCGAAAAAGATTGTTACCTGAAATGAAAAGTGATCGATCACTAGCCACTTTATACCAAATTGAGAAAATAATTGTGCTATCTTTTTCATGAAAATTTTACACTATCCATTTGGAAATAAATGTTTCGTACCTAACCATTATAGTATATTTAAATGTATTTTGCTACAAAAATGTACACAGTCATATAGACTCACCATTTCATATTTATATTGTCATTACCCTATCCTGACAGTTAATAGAACAACTCATGTTTAATTAAATAATGCTCATTTGAGTTAGCTTTTCAATTCATCAAATTCATCAAAACGTATCTAAATAAGCAATAATATTAAAGTAATATCTCTTCTTAAAGTGTCTATAACCACACAATATTTTTCATAACGATTCGAAACGGGTAGAATAAACGAGTCGGTTTGTGTTTGAAACTGGAACTTTATAGTTCATGAAAATCACATCTATGTATATTGATTGTCTTGCAGCGTCTTTACTTACCCCCTGCATCCATCCGTAGAATAGACCAAAGAAAAGGAAAACAAACAATAATCAATGAAGGCAATGTTGATTACATAATGTTTACGATCATACTCAAGAGATCCCAAGTTTGCTCAAAATGGAACAATATTCACTATATTTATGACGTCGCATTTTTTACATTATCAAAATATTTTTGATTTCGCTTTGAAGGGATATTCATTCTTTGGTGACCTAAAATTGGGAAATTCAAAACAGCTTGTTAAAAAAACAGTACAACTTATCACATATGGCTATATCCATGAAATCCAAACTGTGCTGAAATGATCAATATTGTCTTCATAATTTACAAATTGAAGAAAAAAATGCTTGCTTGCACAGTTGCACTGCTGTCTTGATCTTGATATATGTACATTTTAAAGATCTATTCATTTTTTCTTTCATTCAATCTTTCTTTCTTCGTCTTTCCTTTCTGGCAATCTTGCTCATAGATATAAAACGGATTATTATAAAGTGAAATAAACCATGATACTCACAAATAAGTTCACCTGAATCCACGAAAAGTCGAATAAGGACAAAGAGGAAAAAAGAGGCAGAGTTGAATTCATTTGAACCCAGGTGCGTGGATTGTTCATCTTTTAAAATTCAACGAATTTATTTTATTTTATTCAAGAGTTCATTCCAAAAGCTCTATCCTTTTTAAGCGAAAACCGTAAGGCAAAATAGTGGATGTTTGTGCAGTAGTCAATACGCAATTATGGCAAAATCACAAGTTAAATTTATGATGAGGCTGACTTAAAACACACAAAAGAATGGTCATTAATCAAATCATATACTTCAAAAGAAACGTTAACATAATGATAATGGCAGAGGAGTCGCAACAAGCTTCTTTTATAAGAAGAAAACAAAAGGGGGATGACATGAGATGACATTTGAATGAGACTTTAATCAGGTGACACAAATCTAAGATGTTGTCAATTTGAGGAATTTGGGTCGATAAAAGACTCCGAAGGCTAATTTAAAAATCCGGGCCATCATCTAAGGTCTAATGGGAAGACAAACAAGTGATTTAATCAATACTTACGATCTGCTCAATGTGATGTAGAAAAACAAGCAAGCGTCGACGGAGACAGGTTTGATGTAAACAGGGGGTCAAAGAAGCGTGAAAAAAAATAATTAGGGAGAAGTTTAAGCAATACGAAAGCGAAAGAATAGGTAAAAAAAACTACATAATATTATATTAGAGAACATTGACTATGTGAAAAGCGCCAATTTGAAGACTATATTAATTTCATGATCCTTTAAAACCCTTACTATGGAGTTTATAATTCAAGTTTATAAAAAAAATCACATCTAAAAGAATACCAATAATATGTGTGCGCGTGTGTGTGTGGGTGTCTATCAATCTCTTATTATATTTTATCTTATGCTTATCATGGTCTCTCCTTTTTCCAATAGTTTTTGTTGGAGAAAATCCACGGGGGGGGGGGGGGGTGATTGAGATTGGTTTGGACGGGGGTGTGCGGCTGAAGCGTCTAATCTTTGGGCAGAAAATGATAACTATTATTAGGAACTTCCATTCAACACGCAAACCATGTTTAAGGTTTTGCGACCATCGGCAAGGATTTCGGATGAAAAAACGAAATGATTTCAATTATTTTTGCGGGTTTTGCATCTGGAATTTTCACTTTAGCGAGATTATTATCCTGATCATATAGTAACCCGTGTTTTAGTTTAAGATCTGAAAAGTGGGGACACTCATAAGGATTTTGCAGCCCAAAATCATACCCGTCCCCATGTTAAGGGATTTTTTGGCAAAAAAGTAACCAATTAGAGCGGCACATCCCCGTATACTGTATTAGGCGAGTACCCCCCCCCCCCCCCCCCCCCCTTATTGTGTAACGTACTTGAATATAACAATATTTCTATGTTGTCTATCTTTTATTTTGATGGTTGTTCTATTTATAATGTGTGGCCAAAACAAATTTTCACGTATTCTTGTGAATTTGGATTGAGTAAAAAAAAAATTGAATTTAAGAATTGAATAGGATTGACTTACCGGCTATATGTTTTGATTGTCGAGAAGAAACAGGCGGTGGCCAAAGTGAGCGGGTGGAGGAAATAGAAAGAACGAAACTGAAATTACGATTTGCTATCAAATTCAAAGTTTGAGCATAAAAACCAGGGAAAAAAGAAATACAAGAATTAGGTGAGATCCACAGCCGTTATTAAGTTCATGATGACTGCAATTTTTAGTAGTAGTGGTAGTAGTAGTAGTAGTAGTAGTAGTAGTACTAGTAGTAGTAGTAGTAGTAATAATAGTAGTAGTAGTAGTAGTAGTAGTAGTAGTAGTAGTAGTAGTAGTAGTAGTAGTATTGTTATTTGTATTATTATTATAGAAATTACAATTATCATTATTATTATTATTATTATTATTATTATTATTATTATTATTATAATTATTATCATTACAATTATCATAATTATTATTATTATTATTATTATTACTATTTCGCACAGTGAGTCCTTTTATAGGGTGAAGTTTGATCATTACAAATATAGCAATGGGTACAACACGTACTAGGAGTTCCTAATCCCAGGGGGTCACTCTCATACACAAATGCTATACCCACCCGTATCCATCAACCTCTGTCGGACCCTTTTTTATTTAAAGAAAACGTCGAAACCTGTGAACTTGAAAAGGGACCCCTTTTTGGTTTGTGTGCGATCAGTGCTTGAAAACTACCCCTTTTTAAAGAAAACGTCGACGCCGCCGTATAGCTAAAAAAAAAAAAGACACCCTTTCGACGCTTTTTCTGGACGCGGGTGCGTAGCCAGTCTTGTTGGGAGTGACCCCCTGTGTTCCTAATAACTACATTATAACAATGCCAAAGGCAGTGCAAGAAGGGGTAGTCTATGGGGCAAAATTTGCAGATAGATTGGTCATAACTTGAAAATTGCTTAAACCTTCGTTGATTATGCACAACATACACTGTCCTACTTGTAGCTCTTGCTCCCTCTATATAGAAAACAATGCCTAATCGGTGACCACTGGTCCCCCATAATCCTCTTTTTCTTTTGTTAATTGAGAACTGAGTTGATGAGAAAACCACCTGTCCAGTAACCTTGCAGGGCGGTCTAATCCCTCCTATAAACTATTACAGATAAGCTTTTTTTTTTTTAAATTGCATTACTCACTCCTCTGTGCCACCTGCATGCCCTATCGTTATTCTTGGCGGGATTGAACGACTTTTTACATCTCTTGCACTGTTCCGTCTTCTCTGAACGGTTGCTTTGGTGACGGACCACGCTTAATGAAGAAATGGACTCCCGATGATCTCCGATACTCTCCGAAGCAGCGTCCATTGGTTCGTTCGGGTCATGTTCGTGTTCTGATGATGCTTGCCGAGGAGAGGAAAGAGATGATGACGAGGAAGTTGTCGATGTCGTGTTTTTAAGGTCGAGAGGAATCACATCAAATGATGTTGTATCAGTAATGAAAACGTTAACTTTGGGGCTACGGGATCTCGGGCTTTTGTTTGATGTTGATGATGATGATAGAGATATTGTACTGATCGAACTACGGGATGAATTCGGTCTTGACTTGGACGATGGGGCCTCGGAGAGAAGTGATATTCGGGGTGGTGCCGACCTCAGTCTACTTCTCGCCTCGAGTTTGCTGGAGCGGAGTCTCGTCAACTGCCCTTCGAGGGTAATGGCTTCTTTTCTCACCTGTTCTTGATGTTCACGTACCTGCTTCAAGGCAGTCGCCGCGCTCCGAGCGCGCTGCGTCATCAGCTTTCCCTCGACGCAGCGTCGCCGCTTTTGATGCATTGGGAGCCGCGAATACACCATCTCCGCGTTGCATCCCTCGCAGGTCACCAATCTAAAATCGCACTCGGCGACGTGCGCGTCCAGCTTCTTGCGCGTCATCTCTTTATGGCAACCTCTGACCTTGTTCAGACAGTCGACCGTCCCGAACTTGCATTCGTTGAGGACGTGATCGGGAAGGGCGCTGAGTTCGCACCGATGGCCGCATTCCCGGTGGCACTTGACGATGAGTTTCAACAGACGACCGATGAGGTTCCCTGGGGCCAAAGATGGTTCATCAAAGAGCGGGCTCCTGCAGAATGGACACGACTTCAGGAGTTTAGGGACAGGTCTGAGCGCTTTGAGGCAGGAAGAACAGACGGTGTGTTGACAAGGATGCATCATCATCGGATCTACCAGAACTCCCCGACACAAGGGACATATCAGATCCCTAGACACAGGACCAACCACGAACTTGATGTTAAAACCCATGCTTGGTGTCTTGTCCAAGAACTAGTTCACAAGGCGAAACTGTAACCATGCATGCAATCTTTCACGTAGGCCTATTTTATCACCTTTGGTGTTATTTTCTCGTCATTCAAATTGAATGTAAAACAAATATTTATTTTTTAGATGTCTCCACTAATTATAGTGTCTGCATACAACCCCTTCAAATCTCAGGCTAACACGTTCCTTACACTGGTTGTTATCTCCTTGAGATCGGCTTCTTGACGCGGATAACTGTTCTTTGTGTATTCTGTTTCCACAATCAGTATTTACCTTTTCGGGTAAGGTACACTCTGTCTCCTGCAATGATAAATAAGAAAACAAGCGGTGACGTTAATTAAATATAGACTCTCAGCTAAGTAAACATTGTGACTCCGTGAGTACTCCAGTTCATTTAGCATGTATGACTTGTGTATTAAGGTAATTATTGATTTCAATTTGATATTGGTTCGGTTCTTATCTATATAGATGGAATTGTTAGATAGCTCATGAATTAAACCAATAAATTGCAAAGTGGAACTTACACCCTAAAATCAGTTCGAGTTCTTCTATCCTTCTCCTTTTCCGTCTTCATATTAGTATAGACCTATCTAAAAATAACTCTTCCAGCATTACCAACATAATCATTTTACTCTAAAAAATGTCCAAAGAAACTTTACACTATTTCCCTAATAGCATTCCGCCAGGTATATCGAAACAAAAATCCTTGTGTGTGTGTGTGTGTCTTTTCTTATTTCATGTGCTAATGATGTGGGTAGGAGAAGACTACAACGATGATTATATTAGTTTTTTTTTTCTCACTCCCTTGTTATTTTGGTTGATTTGGGTAAAAATACATCCCGTCCGAAAAGAACAAAGGACCCGCGCTCTCTTATCTTCTCTCTCTTCCCTTTTTTCACGATTGTATTTTTGAGCCCCCCCCCCCCCCTCCCTCCCTCTCTCCCCGAGCCACGTCAATATCAACATTTGTTCTAAACAAAACAGGGTTTATTTTCAAACAACTCACAAGAAGCCCGGTTTTGATAAAATGCGTCTGCAATTGCCAATGGTTACTATTCTATAGTAGCATGCAGATAATCGTAGGTATGCACTTCTTTTCTTTGATTTATTTTTGTTCATCCATCTTGACAATTGCTCAATGGTATTGGAAGATTAACCACGCATGTATGGTTTCTCTCCTCCCCCTCCTTTACCCTATTGTGAACATTTTTAAGGGAATCTCTGCTTGTAATTTGTGATCGATACATGAAAACATTTGTTGCGAATTACCCGTAAAGGCTGTAATACATGGTCAAGTAAGATTCCCAGTATGGTCATGTAAGGTTTGGAAGAGGGTGAATGAAAAAGAAAAATGAGTAGAGTGAGGGGGGAGTGGAGTAGGGGGAGGGGACATGAAAAGCTTATTCGACTCGATGGTATTGCTCTCTCAAATTCATTCAACTAGTAAGACCGCTGCCCCCTCCCATGACACAGGTGCCCCTCAATCAACGCTACGCCACTGTTTCTATATAGGCCCAAAATCGCGTTCGCAAATACTGTACAAATTCAGCCTAGGGAAATTTCAATAGAAAATGAGCGACATTGTATACAGTGGCGTATTTTTGTATAGGATATATACAAAAGGTTAATACAATTTCCATTGAGTCGATCGTGTTTTTATGACAACTCTTCTATTTGTTTCTAGACACCCTGTACATGATCGTCACTAGAAGACACCAGTCGGGATTACACGGTTACTTATCACTTATGGCTTAACAATGGTCTCGTCGTTAGGGCTTCTTTGCGTAGTCCAAGCCTACGAATGTCTATACAAATTGCTCTTGAAATCTCAAAAAGAAGGCAGTGTTTGTTTTTTGCCAGACGCGAACTTAATGTAAATATTCAACTTTCCTTGTTTACCTACAAATTTCCGTTATACCGATTTACCTAAGGAAGATTGGATATAGATAGTCATTAAGACTTGATACATGATTCTGTTTTAATCATTGCCTCCAAGGATTTTTAGCCAGTGAATGTGGAATGCAAGCTTAAAAAGACTTTGGTCCATGCCATTAGATACATATTAATTATTATATCGGCCTTTCATGGGCTCATACAAAATATGTATGTTATAATAAATAGTATTTTTCAAGAATTTCAGTAAACCTTATCGGACAAAATATATGTAATTCTAAATTGCATGTATATCTAATTTGTATAACACTTCAGTCATATCCCATGTAAATTGAATTCTTTAAATGATTTTAAATGTATATACAACATAGATAGACAGATAACGGGAACTCATATTTGTTAAAGGTAATTTTGCACTATCTAATGTGGAAAACGTGTTAAATTTAAGACAAATATCTGTTTCCTGTGCGTACAGAGATATTGCCTCTTTTCATTTTTTGACTGAGAGCATTGTGTAAAATTTAAGGACAAAAGGGTAACTGTATTATATGTTTAAAGAGATGAATTCCTGTTTTTAATAACGTAGTTATTTCAAAATATATATATGCTCCACATGCCGAAACACGTGAATACCTTAAAACATTATTATGTAAAAGTAGGCCTATTTATCATTTTGACTTTCCTAGTTATCGAGACAGTCCATAAGATTGAATGAAATAGACTTTCCGTCAAAGCCCTATAAGTATTTCTTAAGAAATCATATACTTTCAATAACACTTCCTTTAAAAAATGAAAAACATTCGAAAGAATTGCTTACCTTCAAGTCATGATATTCACGTCGCGTCTTTTTATCTTTCAATCATCCCAAAAATATCTCCTTTCGCTTCTTGAAGTATGGCATGATTATACGTTCCTTTGCAATATGACATTCCTTCGTTGTGATGAGTATATCTCTCCTTTTTCTCTCTCCATCGATCGTTCGAAGTCAAAAGACAGTACAATGGGTTGGACACAGAGCAATGAATGGTCAGCGACTGATAGCCAAATAAAAAGGAACGACTTTGGAGGCGTTCTAGTATTGATTTCTACATTTATGCGGTGAATCCGGGCTTTGTTTTCTCTTCAGGGTACAGGTATAGAACGCAAGTATCCATCATGGGTGATTGCCACTCGGAATGAATAAGAAAAGAAAAAGACATCGTGATTACGTAATGACTGCGCTTGGTATATTATTCGCTGGATGCGTGATTATTAACCTCTATATAGAATCGTCTGTCCGTCACGGGCATTAGATAATATATGGGAGATGTTGCATATAGTTGTAAATCAAAATGTAAATGCGAATACGTATATTAATAGGAGTACTATTGAGGCTCTACCCCAGGGGCCGTACTAGAGCACCCCCCCCCCCCCAGATGTTTAGATATATGTACCAATATCTGTGCAATTGTATGTTATCTCATATCCAGTCAGCTCAGCAAGGTGAACAAATATGACCTATATTTGTTTTCATATTTAATATCTTGTGTGTTTTGATCAGGAAATAACATATTTGTCATCCTGTCATTTGTCATTCTGTATTTATGATATAAGAAAGGGTCTTTATTTGGCTTGTACTTTCTATAACGTATAATGTGTGTTTGGTCAGGAAATAACTTTTTTGTCAAAAGAAATGTTCTTTTGTTTTTACTTGTAGTTCCATATCTGATAATCTAGTTTTGATCAGGAATTAACATTTTTGTCAATATTTGATATGTAGTTTCCATATCTTATGATAATGTGTGTTTTGATCAGGAAATAACATTTTTATTTTGTCTATTACCTCTCGCTTGCTTCGCCAGTTCGCAAAATGCCCGCCCCCCCCCCCCCCCCTCTTTCAGCAAAAGTCCGATGTGTAAAGTCAATACGGGTCGACCCTTTCCTTTTGTTATACGAGCCTTTTTCAGCACCCCACACCCTTTTTTCAGCAAAATTCCGGTGATTAAAGTCAATACGGGTAGACCTTTTTCTTTTGATACGAACCGGAGAGTTTGGGAACGCGCATGGTATCCCTCCGTTTCACGCGGGAGGGGGAAAACTGAATTCAGACAAGGACACGATACAACGAATCGTCTTCTTTCTCTAATAATTTACGCGCGGGATCGGCGAAAAATGAATTCAGACAAGGATTAGTATTAATAATTTATTGAAACGTCAAAGCTTCCGCGCTTCGCGCGGGAGGGGGGGGGGGGGGGACTAATCGGGTAAAACGTAGAGGCGTCTGGAGGTGTGGATCTTCCACTTGACTCTCAATCCTATGGTTGAGAGTTTGAATCCTAGCCAGGCACTAACTTCTTTTGTTACATTAATTTATGACACATATTTCGTTTTCACTGGCTGCCTGCGGTAGCAACAAACAAAGCTGACAAAAGAGTTTACTCCGTTTCGTTGACGACAAGCCATGCATCACGTCTTTCGTCTTCTTTGTGCATGGCTGATCGTCAACGAAAGGGAGTTAAGTCTTTTGTCAGTTCTGTTTGTTGCTACGGCAGGCAGCCAGTGTCACCTAATTTGTTTCATCAAATCATGGAAATGCAAGCATTACTTAAACAAACAGAACTTTGCTATTCCTGGCTCGTTTTTTCCTGATTGATCATTGAGGTGTCATATGAAAGGGCAGAGAATGAACTTTCTAGAAATGTGATTTTCCTCTTTGAAATTCAGATACCGCCCGCCAAATGACTTATTGGTACCCTCTCTTCAAACTGTTTTAATCACTCATGCATGGAATATGCATCACACGAGTTGCATCAAATGAAAAAAGATGATCTAAGCTTTACAAATATATGTAATTTATTAATTATGATTGTGATTAAGTTATGATAAAAACATCGATGATTCTCAGTTTCGTTTTTTGGGGACGCACTGTCTATATAAAATATAACAAACTGCGGCTTCAACATTACCGAAGGGAAGGGGGTTATGTCTGGATGGAATGAAGTTACATATTATACGATTTTCCATAAGGGAATAGTCCGGGCTTGTTTATGGTCCAGGGCACTTATTAATTTAATTGATGACTTATTTTCAATTTCATACAAGTGATTTATAAATGCTCGTGATATCACAGGATTTTCAACAACATGCGCGTTTCTACATTTCTGTTTTTTTAATAGACACTAATGGGCCTAATTAGTGGCCGCTAACAGTGACTCTAGAGAACTTTTTCTTTCTCTATAATTTAATGAAACGTGAAAGCTTCCGCTCTACACGCGGGAGGAGAAAAACTGAATTCAGACAAGGACTCGATACAGCGAATCGTCTTCTTTCTCTAATAATTTACTTACACGTGAAAGCTTTCGCGCTTCGCGCGGGATGGGCGAAGATGAATTCAGACAAGGATTAAGAGTAATGATTAAATGAAACGTCCAAGTTTCCGCGCTCCGCCCCTTGACCCCCGCCGGGGCTTTGCCTTTAGACCCCACTTTGAAAAACGTTCAGCAGGGCCTGCATGTAAGAGTGTGGTGATGTGGATTTTTTTTGTCAGCCCCCCCCCCCCCCCTCCTAAACGTTTTTGCTCATTACGCCACTGATACACTGTTGGTCATAATGGTGGAATAACTTATTTTTACCCCAATTTATGGAATGATTTTGACAATGATTTATTCCTAGAAGATCTAGATAATAATATACATTCTCAGATTTTATTGAATAATAATTTGTGAGTGTTTGTTTTGCGTGACTGCTAAAGCATGTGTATGCTACTATGCTAATCAACTAAGGGACGTACGTCCTTAAGTAATAACTGACAGTAATGAGGATTAATGCCTCATAAAAGGGCACTAATAAAGCACATCGACACGGTTTTTATCCTGGGGGCTTACATTAACGAGGCCATTGCGTAGCCACTGAATCATGACTGTACGCAGCAGAGGCTAGGGTACGGCGCACAGTGGGCCAGGGAGGAACCAAAGTGCGCCAAAACTAAGTTTGGGTGATTTAATTTTTCAATTTTTTTTCTTGCCCAGTTGAAAGGTAATACGTAGAGGAATACCTCAGTGAAATATTTAATTCCGGTATGCACAATAAGGGTATACATTTACTACTTCAAACAGCAAAATCCTACATATTTACAGTTTTAGTGCAAAAGTGACTTATTTTATAAATCTTTCAATTCAACATGAAGTTTTTAAGTTATTAATATGAAAATGCTCTGACATATTCCTGATAGTGTATTTCGTTGAATGAATGGGTTAAAATTAATCGAAACACAATGTTCATGATATATTATAGGGTAATTCACTGAAAAATGGACTAATTATCCATGTTTTTTATAAATCCAGAAAAAATGTTTAGATCTCCGCGGTGTACCGCTTAAATTTTAATACCACCATTTTCTCTGATGTCTAAGCTTCAAGTTGATACCAAATTTGGCTGCTCGATCTTGCCCGTTGTTATGTTAGAGCCGATTTCCCTTGCCACATTGCCCCGAAAAATGTGGGCTTTTTTGGTCCGCGGCTGAATCATGAAGGATTCGTGGTCATAAATCACGGTGCAAGGGGGCGCGTGACACTTGTTCTGACACCGCGGACCAAAATAAACACATTTTTCGGGGCAATGTTGCAAGGAAAACGGCTCTAACATAATAACGGGCAGAATCGTGCAGCCAAATCTGGTATCAACTTAAAGCTTAGACATTAGAGAAAATGTTGGTAATAAAATTTAAGCGAAAATCCCTGGAAATCCAAACATTTCCTCTGGATTTATAAAAAATAAATCCCCAAACATGAGTTTTGGCGCACTTTGGTTCCTCCCTGGCCCACTGTGCGGCGCGCCGCCCCCACAAATACAAAAAACAAAGAAAATGCAATAAATTATCAATAATTCATGGCATTTTGCCCCGACCCCAAACATAAAAGAATGCTCTATGTGGGCTTGCCTTGAACCATCATGCATGGCCCTACAGAGGAATTTTTCCTTTCTTTCCTTTATTTTCCTTTTCTTTTTTCTTTTCTTTCCCTTTCCCTTTCATTTCCCCTCATCCTTATTTTTCCCGACAGCAGCGCAATTCTACTGCCAATATCCTGACAGGTGGGGGGGGGGGGGGGGGGAGTGTCGCACCCCACGGCCCTTTTTAGCGACGACCCTGGTTATCCCATTATTCTTTTTAAAGAAATGTAATTTCTCGTGCTCTCGCACCACTCTTCTATTTTTATTTTTATTTTATTTTTTTTTTTTGGGGGGGTCTTCTTTTGCATTTTTTTTGGGGGGAGGGGGTGGCTACACGCCTGGCTAGAAGGACCCCATATTATGCACACTGCAAAATTGCGTGCCCCCACCCCTCTCCCGGTAAAAAAAAAAACACCTCTTATAATATCATCCCCCTTTCTTTCCTTTCTCTTCTCATTATTCTCCTTTTCCCCCTTTTCTCTCCTCCGTCTTTTCCCCTTTCTTCCTTTTCCACCTTTTCTCTCCTCTCGCTTCTCTTTCTTCCTCTCCCCTGTGCTCCCCATGATGCCGTTCTCCTCAATAGCTTCTTTTTGGCAAAAAAATCCCTATACATGGGATATGATCTCGATGTAACCCACTGAATTTCATAATCTGTAAACAATTATTTTTTCATGGTGAATAAATGAAACAAACAAACCAACAAAATAATTGAGATCATGTCGCTTTTTCATCAAAAGTCCTGTCAAAATGACCATCAATTAGAATGGCTATGGGTTTTGAGGCTTCAGGCTTCCTAACCAAAACTGAACCCCCTCGCCCCTGTCAATTTCTGGTCTCGTGTTTCGCCACTGGATACACTATTCCATCCTTGATTAATTTTCGGAGACCGGAACTACGTACATGATGTAGCGCAAAATAGTTTGAACTGAAAATACTGTATAAAGCACTATTGACAAGTAAGTGAGATCTTTATTGTATAAGCAGAGGTTTATTCATTTTAAAACTACAGTGAAATATATGAGCATGCAAAACCCATAAAAAGAAAGGAAGACAAAAACAAAAGAGGTATGTCTGAGAAAACTTATTTTGTTTTGACGTTACCGGCTTGAGCAAATCAAAATTCAAAAATCAAAAATCTTTGAGATTCTTTCGTACCGTCCAAGGTCACTTCGCGAACTCACAAGCGGTTGCGTATATAACACATAACCATATGATATATTTAGTGTCTCAAATTTAAAAAGCTGTGGTCAATCGTTCACACATACATAACTCATTGTAACTATCACTTTCACTGACTCTATCATTAAAAACAACAGGTTAAAGAGCGGGGGCGGCGGAGCGACTTCTGAAGTGTGTGTGTTGGGGGGGGGGGGTGGGGGGAGGAGATGACTCCAACAAAAAAAGGGCAATTTTTTGGGGGAAACGGCATGATACAAAGGGAAATCTCAAAGCGCAAATATACAATTTTTTAGACATTGGTATATCCCCTACATCAGGGATGATTTCAATATTTGTTTCTTTTATACACAATTCAAGATATTTCTCAAGCATCATACTTTGCAGTTGGGTGTGATGGTCTGAAAATTCATCTGAGAGCGAGCAAAGCGAGCGAGGAAAAAAAAAGATTTGTGAGGTCGCAGTGCGAAAAATTACATCTTATAAAGAAGAAAAATCACAATCCTGATGGGGTTATAAGCATATACTTATTACGGAAAACTAGAAAGACCTTTAATTAGCAACATAATTTTATCATCTTTTTTTGCTCTTAGTCGCTTTAAATTAGGTGCACATTTAATGATGAGAGGAAGAGGGAACACTTATCGAAAGGGATAAACTTAGACACGTATATTAGAAAAGAAAAGGAGCACGTGTCAAAGTACTAAGGGTAATGTCAGAGGGGATAATGGGGCACTTCTTATACTACAAAAAGAGGCACTCACTAGGGATGGAAAAAAGGCACTTAATATGAGAATGGGAAATGGGTATTTGGTGACGAAAAAGTGGCACCCATCAGATTTTAACATGGGCATTTATAAGGGGCGAAAAGGGTCATTTATGAAAAGGGGAAAGGTCCCTTATTAGAAAGGGAAAGGGGCACATATCATTGTTAAAAGGGAAAGCATCAGAGGTGAAAAGGAGCACTTATCGCGCCTGAAAAGGGGCACTGACCAGATATGAAAAGTGGCACTTATGAGAATGAAAAGGGGCACTAATGATGAAGGAAAATAGACATCAGTTGAAAAAGGGGCGCTGATCAGATTTGCATACGGGTATTTATGGAAAATGACAGAGAGCTTTTGTGAAAAGAGGGAAGTGGCTCTTATTAAAAAGAAAGAGAGGCAGATGTTAAAATAAACGGGGCACTTATCAGATATGAAAGGGGTAATTACTGTACGAGAAGGGAAAGGAGCACCTATAAGATGGAAAAAGAGCATTTATTAGAAAGAAAAGGGCCGCACGTGTCAAAATAAGAGGGGCAGTTATTGGAGGTGAAGAGGGAAAGGGGCACTTAAACAATTTAATAGGGGCACTTGTCAAAGTAAAAGGGGCACCTTTCCTATGTAAAAAGGGGCACTTCTTACAAAGTTAAAGGAGCACTTTTGGGGTAAATGAAAAAGTTAAATCCAACGGCATTTGAAACATTATACTAATTTAAAAATTCCATAAAAACAAAAGAGCTTGAAAATCGAATTTAGAGATTGCACTCCTTTTATCAAATAGTCTGATATTCAGACCCTTGTACAGAATGGACGTACGTTTTGTGCTGCACAAAGATTTAATCAGTTTAATTTTGGCCATTATAAGAAGTGGGTTATTGATGCAGACATATGCTCATGCAGGCGCGTACGCAGGGGGGGGGGGGGGGGAATCTCGCCCCCCCCCCCCCAGCCACTGAACGAAATATCTGACGATGTAATTTTCCAATTTCCGGGGCAAAAACAATTCTCTTACCCCCCCCCCCCCCCCCCCCCCCCCCCCCCTCCTCCATGACACATAAAGATTCAATAAGTAAAAATGGATCAATGTAATACATTCGACATGAAGAAAAAATAGAGGATATTGAGAAGAAAATAAGGGATCATCATTGACCTAAACAAACGTATACATTGAAAAACAGAGAGGCATACGATATAGAGAATAAAATAAGTAGGCCTATTGACTGAAAATTTAGCACAAAAAAGTTAAGTGATAGCAAATTGATGAATAATCGCTTGCGCTAAAAAAATAAACAAAGCAAAGTAGCGTGTAGCGTGCCTCATCGTATGGGCTGAGTTATCAATCTCGAGTAATTATGATAACAACGGTTCCATCGCTGAAAATATAGATATCGATAGTATCATCAACTTTTCTCCTATGACGTGGCGGAGAAGTGCCTTCGTCGTCGACAGCCGATTTGATCCAATGAGAATCCATAGTCGAGCAGAGGTCATTGACCACGGGCGAGGTTGTCTGGGCTAGGTAGGCAGACGGGATCGTCTCTTTGGTGGTGGTGAAATTGCGCGGCTTGATGGCGCCGAGCTAAAAACAATGCGAGACAATAATATTGAAAATAAAAAAGGAGTAAAAATTTTGATTTTATTTCTAAATAATATAAAAGTACGACAGGCCTACACGGAGGCCTATATGGCAGAAAGTAACCGGCTTTAATTTACCTTGAAAATCAAAGGAGTTAGGTTAATTGATAACAGAAAGAGTAAGAAGAAGAGGAGGAGGAGGAGGGGAGGAGGAGGGGAGTAGGAGGGGGCGATGGAGGAGGAGGAGAGAGGAAGAAGGAGAGATAGAAGAAGAAGAGATAGGAGGAGAAAAAAAGAAGGAGAAGAAGAGTGAGAAGAAGAAGAAGAAGAGAAAAGGCAAGAAGAAGATAATAAAAAAAAAAAGAAGAATCAGAAGAAGAAAGAAGTAGAAAAGAAGAATCTTCAGTAAGTAAACTTTTGGAATGGTGAATACAAATTATATCCACGACTAAATTTGATTAAATGATGATGAACAAAATGTAAACAAAAATTAATCAACATTACACAAATAGCTTCTTTGCAAATTAATTTCTGTATGTTTGAACATTTCGTGTCTAGATTCTGTTCTTGAACTCAAGAGAGGATAACATAATTTAACAAAATAATACAAAAAATATTGAGAATTAATGTAGATATATATAAATATATATATATATGTGTATATATATATATATATATATATAATATATATATATATATATATATATATATATATATATATATATTTGCAGATGTATAAACAAAAATCATATTGATTGACACTGGGAAAAGCATGAACATATAAGGAATTGACACTGGAAAAGGGGAAAATTAACAAAATTATGTCAGCTTACTTCGACGATCTCTCCGTCATGAGCTTTCTTGAAACTATCGATGTCGTCTTGGTTTACCGGGCCAAGGAAGCATCTATTCTTAGACGGGAGAACGTAGGTCAGAAAACCCTGCAAGAGAGAATGAAGGTTTCAAAACATATATATAAAAAAAAGAAGAATAAATCGATGAAAAGAACCGTCGCATTGGTATGTTAATAGGATAGCATTCTCTGGCAATTAAAAGGTTTATATTTGGAAAGCAATTACTAATATCAATCAAGACTACGGACTATAAATTGGCGATTAATAGAAATGGTTTATAAGACCTTATGTGTTTTTTCATTTAATATTTGGTCAAATAAAAGCATTAGTATGACACTTAAGATGTAGTCTGTGCCCAGGCATTAACAAATCTACTAGGTTAATCCGTTACACACTATTTCACTGTCAATTGGCCGATAGCAAAGTGCAATATGTCACATAAGACGATAACAAGTATGGATGCGATTTTAATAAGAAGTGGATGGGTGTTGGAGGAGGGGGGTCATTCACCCCAAACTTCTTCAAACTACTTCAATAAATTTAAGCAAGGTACATATAGAAAGTTCATGCAAGAACCAACAACTCCCATCAAGCCCACCATAAAAGCCCCTCAAATTAATATTCTAGAACCGCGCCTGTGTTTTAGGAAACAATCACATACCCGGTTGAAGTCATAGACCACGGTAGCATTCTCCCCGAAGCCATCTCCCTCCAGATCCATGACCACGACATCATTGTCGTGATCGTAGTGACAATGCTCGGAGAAATCGTGATCATCGAACCTTCCGTGTCTCTCGAAGTCCTACCATATGGTTATAATAATAATTTGTATTTATACATGTATATCGCTTAATATCAAATACCGTATACGAGCGCTTATCTGGTCATCGGGACCTACGTCCTTAAGTCATAATTGACAGTAATGAGGATTAATGCCTCACAAAAGGGCACATATATATATAGCTGATCGACACGATTTTTATCCTGGGGCCTCACAGTAACGAGGCAATTGCTTAGCCCCTGAATCATGACTGTACGCAGTGGTTGATAGGGTACGCGGCCGCCCCCACAAATCCCCCAAAACGAAGAAAATGCAATAAATTGTCAAAAATTCATTGCATTTTCCCCCGGCCCCCAACAGAAAAAATTCCTTTGTGTGGCCATGCCTTGAACCATTATGCATGGCCCTACAGAGGAATTTGTTCTGTTGGGAGCCGTTGTTGGAAAATTACCCGTGGATAAAAAAAAGATTGCAAATGTGTACTTAAGGGGTAACAATAGTACTAATTACATGCTTCAAGAAGAAGAAAAAATCTTATTTCATCGTGGCCGGCAGAATAGCTAACTCAAAATATTATAATTCATAGTTGTTTACGCTCCTTAATACTGTCCATTGAAACTGTTTTTTTTTTTCTTGATTAAACATAATTGTTATCCCACGCACTGAACAGAAACGATGAGATAATGTGATGGATAAGTCCTTTTGTTATCCCTAATGAATTGAGGATGAATTACAGGATGTGCATTTTGAGTGGAAGCACAATGTGTATTTACCGTATATATATATTTTTAGTTTAAAAAAATGCGCGTGGCATCCACCCGTATCTTATTCCCTAGTATTTGTGCAAGAGTGTTTTATTTGTATCATGGATGCATGATGCATATGTATATTTTTGCATAAAATGTTATTCGTAAAGTTGTTAATCAAGTACAGATTTCGTTAATATCATTTTCTTCCCCCTTTTATTTATTTAAATGATACACCACATATAATACATGCCTTTAAAGGTTCATTCTATAATGCCCGTATAATCAAGAAATCATCTTAACGTTGATTTCCTTTCTTACAGATTCCCGGACCAAGCTGTTCTCTAAAAGTTACTGGGATCAAATTGAGTATCGATTCGTGCAACAAGGGAAACATTTCCCCCCATATCATTGACATTGATTACGCCAGAAAGAAATTGTGGTTCGGCATCTAGGCAGATCAGGGGAGCTTATAATAATAAATTATTTGTATATTTTTGTCTGACTTACATAATTACACGGAGAAGGATTCAAACCCTTCGTTGAAGAAAAAAAAACATGAAATTAAAATTGAAATTGAATATGATTTTAGACAACTATTGTTTCATTTTCATTCGGATTTTACCACTGAAATTGAGCATTGAACGTTTCTGTTTTCATGAAGTGACGGTAGTGAGGAAAATCCGCACACAAATTGTATGCAATTTTCATTCACTACCGTCACTTCGTGAAAATAGGAACGAATTATTTCACATGTAAATTGTTCAAAAAAATTATGAACTTAAATATTATAGCAATAATCATAAGCGGTTACAGTATTGCTTTAAAAGTTACATTGCCATTTGATAATCACTTTAAAGAGGGAGTTTTACATGATAATCAATTTTATATGAAGAGGATGAGATAGAGACAGATGCAGACTTCTATTTCTTTATCATCATCATTGTCATCATTATCATTATCATCCTCATCATCATTTTCTTCTTCTTTTCTTTCATCTTCTTCTTCTTCTTCTTGTTCTTCTTCTTGTTCTTCTTCTTTTTTTTTTCCTACTTTTTCTTCATTATCATCATAAGCTTCTTCTTCTTACTTATATGCTAAGCCTTCATGTTAACTGAGTACGTTAATATTCCATTTTCACTAACATCAACTTACCATGTCCTTGCCGAATTGGGCGGTCATGTCGCTTTCACGCTCCACTCGACAAGTTTGGAGGCCAAAATAGACAATGACACCGGCAACGATCGCCGCGATGACCACTGATATGACGACCAGTGCAAGTACGAGGAGAGGCGACAAAGCGGTCTTCCTCACAACGAGGGTCTGTAAAAATAGAAATCGGAAAATCGTAAATTTGTCATGTTCATGTACAAACAACGTTGCAAAATGAATATTTCGGGGCGATAGTCGTTCAGCTTTGAACTTTCCCTGATATTGATCTCCATTTTGAAAAGTTTTTCTGATGTCGTCAAATTTTTGTTCTGAAATTCAGTTTTGAATTGTAAAAAAAAAAAAAAAAAAAAAATCAAATTATGTTTGATAATTATGTTAAGGCATTATAAGGTTGCTGCATGCTTATACCATAGGATGCGCTTTGATAATTTTACGAACAAAACGAAACGTAAACCTAGCCGAACAAATTTGAAGTATTATTTCATAATTATAGAAACATTGCAATCGGTACTTGTTTTCAATTCAAATCGCTGTATATAAAGCTTTAGCTTGAATTCCAGCCGTAACATTATAGGGATGATACAAACTTGTCAAGGCTGTTACGTATACGTCGAACCCTTTTTTCGTTTTTTTTTTATAATTTAAAAAGGGATTAGAATTGGGTTGTAATTTGGTGTACGGTTAGGTATACCATTGTTAGGGTAGGGATAAGGGATAGGTTTGGTTTTAGTTCTAGGGTTGGAGTTAGGGATCTGGGTGTATAGGGAAATAGGAAAGTAGCGCGCAGCATTTGTCGCAGGGCAAGTACCATACAACCATATATAAAAGATACCATAACAACGGCCATCATATTTACCTGGGCTGTTTCAGCATTTTCAACTGCCGTCTTTTCTCCCTCCACTGGCTTAGAAACGGTAAAGACAGTCATTTTTATGCGGCAAAAAATTGATTTGTAAATGTTCACTGCTTCTTAGGATAACTGAGCCTGATTGTGGGTGAACCGGAAGGTTGCCGTCCCTTTTATTAGGACGAGGAACGTGACTGGGTAATATTTTTCAAGGTGATCGAATACGGAACCCAGGGGCGGATCTAGCTTTTTGCTAAGGGAGGGGTTTGACCAAAATAATGACGATGCGGAGCATCGTCCACGAGCCGCAAAGCGGCGAGCCGATTTTTTTGGGGGTGTTTATCCGGGGTGTTTATTTGAACCCCGTAAGTGATGTTTTCCTGGCATCTATTAACACAATGGAGACCATAAAAAGCAGTGAATGATAACGTCTTTTAAAATCAAGTAACAGTTTAATACACAGTTATATCCAGAGTTATCATGTGTTTGGTTAAGTTACCAGATGAGTTGAATATCTTCTCACAATATTTGCACTTGAAAGGGTTTCTCTCCAGCGTGCGTTCTTTTTTCTTTCTTTTTTTTCTTTCTTTTTTTCCCTTTTTTTTTAGGGGGGGGGGGCGCCCAAGGGGGTAGGGTTTAAACCCCCTAACCCCCCCCCCCCCCCGTAGATCCGCGCCTGGAACCTACGAATAAAAGAAAATAAAGGGCTATGCTCATTGTTTGGTGTTCAAGAAAAGTGTTTTATATGTACATTGGCAGAGAGAGAGAGAGAGAGAGGGGGAGAGAAAGAGAGAGCGGGTGAGAGAAAGAGAGGAAAATTATATAGAGGGGAGAAGAGATGATATCACACTTTAAAATATCTCAAGGTTTAATTTTTGTGGGAACCTTCGGAGATTTTTTGTGTGGTAACCTTGCCCTTGTCACTTCCTTGTGGGAAAATCAACTTTTCTGAGATTTTCTAAAACACGGATGTAAAAGAGCCTTGAACAATCTAAAATGAGGAAATTGTGGTATGACGTAAGATTGTAGTCACGAAATTCCAACAATCAAAAACTGAACAAAGGAGAAAAGTGGATCTAAAAAGTAAGGAAAAGTATAACGGTGACAATTTAATTTGTACACTGTATTTTATAAGTTTCGAATCCTTTGACCATGGACCTACTATAGGTCCATTCTTTGACCTACAGACCAAGAGAGTAGCCTACTGGGTATATCGGATAGAACATCCAGTCCGCAAACAAAACAAAGATTTAATGCATTTTGAAGGGACGAGATTCCGATTCAATTTTAATTCTATTCGGGTTTTATTAATATAAAGAAACATTTAAAGATTTAAAGATTTAAAGATGAAAATGAAAGTAGTCCAAACATAAATGATATCATGTTTGCAATATTAATGGGTAAACAAATAAATGTGAACATTCAACATCAAAATCATGGATTTATGGATATAATTTAACATATAAGGCAGATTGTTGAATGTATGCATTGAATTAGTGAATAAATGAAGAAAACGTATCGCGAAAAAAAAAAAAAATTAGGCCCAAAACCGTATCATCGGCAAGGGTGTTAGGGGTACGTAAAGAGGATCATTGTAAAAATTATACATTGGATCGGTGAATGGTAATGACATCTTGTATGATTATGTGTTTCTATGACCAGATCTCCAAATTTCAACAAATACTGTATTGACACGAAGTTGGGTCTCGCTGGGTGATACACCCCCCCCCCCCCAAAAAAAAAAAAAAAAAAAAAAAAAAAAAATGTGCCCATTTCGCGAGGAAAAGCATCAATTTTAATTTTTTTTTTTTTTTTTTTTTTTTTTTTACTAAACTCTGCCATAAAAAGTATTAGGCCCTCGTCCTTTTGATAGATATTATTTATTTTTGTTAAACCATTCTTGCTCCAGTTGTCTCATTTTCGCTCGCTGGACCACTGCCAGCACAAACGTAGCTAGTTCGACTACCAAACTAGACAATCAGCTGTCAATGACGTCATATTGTATGCGACGGCAAATATATTTTGTGAAATTATCGGAAAATTGACTATTTCTAATCGCAAACTAGTTTTATTTCTGTTTGGAAACGCAGCCATTGTTATCTTGGCAAACATTCAAGTCATTAGAATAGGGTAAATTACGTCTTACATGATTCAAGGGGTCTATTTTGCAGGAAAATTGTCAATTTCGTAGAATGTTCCACTATGTTGCAGGGTGTATGCCATTGGGTATGATGTGTGAACCGGGTGTGCGGAAATGGTGTGTTGGGAGGGGAAGTGAGAGTGTTCGTGTGTGTGGTAATTGTATGTGTGTCAACAATTAAAGACTAATCAAAAATTTTACAATGACGAGTAAACTGTCTACATCACAGTTCACAGATAGATATATATCTCACACTTTATAATATCTCAAGGTTTAATTTTTGTGGGAACCTTCGAGGATTTTTTTCCTTGTGGGAAAATCAACTTTTCTGAGATTTTCTAAAACACGGATGTAAAAGAGCCTTGAACAATCTAAAATGAGGAAATTGTGGTATGACGTAAGATTGTAGTCACGAAATTCCAACAATCAAAAACCGGAACAAAGGGGAAAAGTGGATCTAAAAGGTAAAGAAAAGTATAACGATGACAATTTAATTTGTACACTGTATCGAATCCTTTGACCATGGACCTACTATAGGTCCATTCTTTGACCTACAGACCAAGAGAGTAGCCTACTGGGTATATCGGAAAGAACATCCAGTCCGCAAACAAAACAAAGATTTAATGCATTTTGAAGGGACGAGATTCCGATTCAATTTTAATTCTATTCGGGTTTTATTGTTATAAAGAAGAAAAATTTAAAGATGAAAATGAAAGTAGTCAAACACAAATAATATCATATGTTTGCAATATTAATGGGTAAAAAATAAATGTAAACATTCAACATATGGATAATTTAACATAAGGCAGATTGTTGAATGTATGCATTGAATTAATGAATAAACGTACGTCGGGGTGGATGTGCTTTTCGTTTAAACACAATATGAATTTTTAACGATTTTGGGGGTAACTGTCCAAGATAGTCCGGCAGCCATTTCGATATACCTTGTTTTAGGGTCTATACATATATATTATTTTAATTATAGTTTCTTAGACCATCAATTTAAAGAATTCGATTGCTGACACTCTGTCAGCATTGAGCAATTTGTAGATATGTGACGTCACACAAATAACCGCCAAAATCACCCTTTTAACCAAAATTAATGATATAAAAAGTCTTTACAGCATTTGTCTACATTAAATGGCAATCAAATATCTTGATTTTTTTTCTAGGATCATCACTAAATAAAGATTGCGATGTTGTATGTTCACAAATGACATGTAAACTAGCATAAAAGACAATACTAATTTAGAAATTCCCTCATAACGAAAGGGCTTGAAACTTGCTTGTAGTTGGAAAATAACGACTACGGTATTAGTGTTGTCGATTCGACTTTAGTCTGACCCTTTTACCAAATGGTTGTACGTTTTGTGCTGCACAAAGATTCTATCAGTTTAATTCTGGCAATTACAAGTAGTGGGTTATTGATGTAGACACATGTTCATGTACCTGTTACTCCTCAATTTATGTAAACGAAAAAAAACGCCAGTCAGTCACTCAAAAGAGTGTCTGACAGTGAAGTCTAGAAGGTAAACGGGTTTCCTTGCATAATTTGAATACTAGGACTTTGATAATGCTTTAATTTCACAGATAGGACATACATGACATATTCATAATTTCAAAGTTCTACAGAATTGTATGTTGGCTGCAAAAGGGACATTTCTTTAAAAGCCCTCTAAAGTGTTGGGAACCCTAAAATATTCCATGCGGAAGAGGGTGTCATTTAACACTTAATTCTGCAAAATTCTTCAAAACAAATGTGTTCGAAGTGAGGTCGTGACTGTATGGCGGGCTTTCACACACATGTCACAGCAGTGTCGCATCCTGTTAACCCATATCCTGCCACTCATCGATGGAAAGATATCTCCTAACTTGTCTACTGTAGCAGGAATATCAATAACAGTTCACTCTGTGATGGGCGACTCCATGGTCATTGGCGTTTTATAAGTCCGTCATGTAGATAATGATGCAAAAGTAGTACGTACACGTCTGTGTTATCCACCATGCAGGATCCTAACATAATTCTTCTCATTAGCAGCCATTCGAATCGCTTGCTATACTATGCTGTCTGCTTATTCATATGATGTGGACAGATATTTCCTTGGAATGACATCACTGCCTGGTATCACTTCAACAGGAACCTCATCTTGGCCGGTAATATGGCCAACTTGTGCTTTTGTCTATTTCTGAACACCAAATCATCCTGCAGACTCGCGCATATATTATGGTGTCGATCAACTGTAGTTTGTTGTCACTAACAGTGAAAAAGAGAGTGAAGTCATGCAAGACAGGAGACATGTTTAAAAAAATCAAGTCTCTGACCAAGAAACCTACATCAAAAATAAACGTCTTGAAGGATGAAAATGGGAATATTTTAAAAGAGGATAAAGAGATAAGGGCGAGGTGGAAGGAGTATTGTGAAAAAACTGTTTGATGCAAAAGAAACTGAAGAAATTTGTACTCATGAAGAAGCAAGCGTCGAGGACGAGCCCATGCTTCAACCTGACATCTTACAAAATGGAGTAAAGGAAGCAATGAATCATCTGAGACCTGGGAAAGCACTTGGTATCGAAACATCCCTGCGAAGCTTTTCAAAGAAAGTGGAGAGGAGGCCGTAAAGGTCATGCATAATCTGTGTAACAAAATATGGAGATAGAGAATATGGCCACAAGACTGGAAGAGAGCTGTTTTTCTCCCAAAAGATGTTACACATGAATGTGCCAGTTACACTCAGGCGCGTAGCCAGGGGGGGGGCGGTGGGGGCGGTCGCCCCCCCCCCCCCAAAACGCCGGCCAAAAAAAAAAAGAGAGAGAAAGAGAAGAAAAAAAAGAAAGAGGACGTAGGAAGAAAAAGGGAAAAGGTGTCGAGAACGGTACAATGAATCGTCAAAGCTTCCGCGCTTCGCGCGGGAAGGGGGAAACTGAGTTCAAATTAAGAAATATGAGTCGGGAAAGGTACAACGAATCGTCTTCTTTCTCTAATAATTTAATGAAACGTCAAAGCTTCGCGTGAGAGAGGGGAGGGACTGAATACAGATAAGGATTAAGAGTCGAGAGAGGTACAACGAATCGTCTTTTTTCTCTAATAATTTAATGAAACGTCAA